GAGCCACCTTCCCCCCTTCCCACGCTGCCCAGAGGCCTGGAGCGGCTAGGACAGTGTGGAATGCCTGCATCCCGCGCCCCCCCTCCCCAGCCACTCAGGCCTATGTATGCAAATTAACCCACCATATTTGTTTGGGTTAATTTGCATACCCACTCCTGATTGGCTGGTGGGCATCACAAAGGTACGGTCAATTTGCATCTTTCTCTTTCATTAGTGTAGATTAAAATGTCAGATAAAAAAAAGAGTATATAACTCCCTTTATATAAAATTCTCAGACCCAGCACAGTACCTGATGCAAAGTCTTGATTGGTACTTACTGCTTATATGCATGAATGAATGGATGAATGAATGGAACTGCAAAGGAATGGAGGAGGGAGCATTACAGGCAAAGAAAAGGGGGTGCTGAAGACCACAACTCCTGCAGTTGATGAAGCCAAAATAGTATGTTTATGGATGTTAAAGGTTGAGTGAGGGCCCCCACAAACCAAGACCCCACACACAGAGAAACATGCACACAAGGTACATACCCAAATTCTGGAAGGTCTCTGTCAAAATGCACACTGTCCTCATAGAAGACGTTCATCGCTGCATCAACAGCAACCACTTTCACCTGCAAAGCATTCGAGAAGATGGGGCAGAGAATTTCCCTCAGCTGCTACGCAGGGCCAGGGACAAACTTCATCAGGTAAAGTGAGGGGTTCAACCTGGAGACCTTCTGGAAGGCTGGGGTGCATTGTCATAACCATGGCAACCGAGCCTCACCTGGGGACATGCCCCAAGATTTAGTACAATGAAGCTGAGACTGCATTGAAACACCTTGGTAGCTCAAGGAATCTCTGCCCACCAAACACCCAAAGCCAAGATCCTCTTAGAGAAAAATGTTCACAGATGAGCTGATTCCTGGCCAGGAGGCCTGAGAAAGCCCTAGAGGCGAAGGCATGGCAGGTTAGGGTTTGGAGCTGCCTCTGGGGGACCATGTCTGCAGGGATCTGAGAGCCAGGCAAGGCCCCTGAGCTGTTTCCACAGGGCATGGCCGTGGTCCGGAGACAGACTGTGTTGCAAAGCAGCAGACCTCCAAACCCAGGGGTACAATTCCTTTCCCAGACATATGGGGAAACTGAGGTCTTAATGCAACCAGCCTTACCCAGGGTCCCACAAGACTTTCTGCTTGCTGTCTGGTCCATCTGAGAAGAGAGGTTTGACTACAATTGCACTGATTCCCCAAGTAAAGAAGGGGTGCCTTTGGCCAATTTTAACTGCTTGCCTGCCCATGGTGTCCAGGGGACTGCACAGCCCGTCCTCTGTCACCACTGCTGGGCATGCTGACCCGGGCGGGTTGGTGCCAACTAAGGTTGAACAAAGTTCAGGGTACGTTGTTCCATTTCACCAAAAAAAAAAAAAAAAAAAAATCAAGCGGTAATCTGGTTCCAGGCCACCGGTTATGCCTGTGTGCTCACCTACCCTTCCTCCTGTCCCCACCTCTTACACTGGCTGAGTAGCTTCGGGGGTCCCATCCCTCGGTGGCCGCCCCCCCCCCG